ATGCATGCGGCCGGGCTCAACCAGCCTGACCTTGCCATCGTTTCAACATTCAAGAATTCAAGGCTGCGCGATTAAATTGCACGATGTACTTTTGAAAGCATGTTCTTCCGAGGCTGGCTTTGCACAAGGTGGCTTGCAAGAGCTTGCGCTTTGGGCAGGTCGCGTCAAAAGATCGAGCCTACGGCTTTAGTTGAGAGGGCGCAGGTGCTGCTTCGATGGCACGTCTTTGCATTCAAGAACATAGCCGTGAGGTGGTGTTGACGCCATGCGACCTGCCCAAAGCCTTGTGACATTCGCAGCTTGCAACTATTTGGTCGTAAGTTGGACGTAAGTTTTGCAGCTGCCAAGCCGCTGACGCATCTGAGTCTGTCAGTCGCGCAGAGTCCCCAGGCTTGCCTTGATATAGGCTGCTTGGAGTGAGGCTTGTTCCAGCTGGGAGTTTCCATGCCAACAGACACAACCAGCTGAATTTGCACCTAGAACTTTGTGGGGGTAAGCTTCAGCTGCAGACTGCGGTTGTCAGGCACACTGCGTGCCTTACTCCCGCGCCTTTCAAGTCGGGCGCGTTGCCTGGCAGCGGCAGCGCCGTTGCTTTGCGCCCCTTACGCTTTCAAGGCTGGTGCGAGTTGGGGTTCATTTCGCTGATGCAGTCTTCGTCTAGCATTTGCTTGCTCGAAAGAGGCTGCATTTTTGGTCAGCTTTGTGCACAAACCAGAACGTGGTGTCTACACTGCTGCGCGCGAGGCGTATTGGATGACAATATCAAGAGTGCTATGTTGCCTTGACTTGAGCAAAGCACGGAGCCGTTGGGCCCAGCCAGCTTGGCTGTGCCCCGGACTTTGTGGCAAGCTTCAGCCGCAAGCTTCTGCTGCGGTTAGCAGGCACAGCACTGCTGGCTTGCGCTTGTCGCATCTCACGATTTGGACGTCTTGCCTTGCAGCGACGGCAGTGCTGGCAGCGCCGCAAGTTGCCAGTCCCGACGTTCTGAAGGCTGTGGCGCGTTGGGTTTACTTCTTCTTATGCAACCTTGTTCTGGCGCATGGGTAAGCCTCAGACAGACCTGCGTGTGAATTGCGAGGGCCCGGGCACTGCTTGTATGGCAGTGCTTTGCACGAACAGGGCTATCAGCGAGTGATTTTCAAGCCCAGAGCTTTGTGAAGTTGGCAGCTGCAAGTGATTGAACTCAAGCTTTGCAGAGCCTGCTTCTCAGTGTCCCAGATTGCTCAAGGCTGCTTGGAATGACGTCGCATGAGAAGCGTCGCGTTGCTTTGACCTGAGCAAGGCGCGGAGCCGTTGGACCCAAGCAGCTTGGCGGTGCCCAGAGCTTCGTTGCAAGCTTCCAGCTGGCTTGCGAATGCAAGCTCTCACCTTTTGAGTTGGATGCCCTGCCTTGCGGCGGCAGCGCCGCAAGTTCCCAGTCCTGTCACCACGCACGTTGGGATTAAGCTTTATGTCGAAGGCTGCTGGGAATGAGGCTTGCTATGCTTGCAAGCAGAAGCATTGGATGGCGGCCTTCTTCTTTGTTGTCTTGACTTGACCAAAGCACGGAGCCGTTGGACCCAACTAGCTGGTCTTTGCCCAGAATTTTGTCGCAAGCTTCAGCTGCGGACTGTGGCAGCGGTTGGCAAGCAGCGTGCTACTGGCTCGTGCAGTCGCTCACACCGTTGGAGGTGGATGCCTTCCCTTGCAACTCCGGCGGTGCGGGTACTTCCCAGTGCGGCTCACACTGGGGTTCAATCAAATGATGCAGTCTTTGTGTACATTTGCTTCACAAGCTTGCTGCACAACCTGTTGCTTGAGTATGGTCAGGTGTTGCAGACGCAGTGTAGTGTAAAATGACCCGCAACAGGCGTCGCGCTTCCTCGACTTGAGCAAAGCACCCACAGCTCGGTTCGAACCAGTCCCACTCGTTCCAGAGCTTGGCAAGCTTCAGCTGACTGCGGTTGGCAGAGGCAGTGCTTGTACTGGCTTGCGGACTTGCTGTACGTCTTGCCTTGCAGCACCGGCAGTGCCCCAAGGTTCCAGCTTATGCGCTTGCGAGGCTCTGGCGTGCGTTGGAGTTCAATTTTGGGAAGCAGTCTTGATCTGAAGCAAGTGCTCTCCAGTGCCTGCGCTTGGGTAAGTTTCATGATAAAGCCAGACGTGCGGCTTGAAATGCGAGGGTGCAGGCGCTCCGCTGGGCCGTCTGCAAGTCAGGTTGAAGCCGAGCGACCTGTGCCAAGAGCTTTCTGACTTTGTAGCTGCAAGTGTTTGGACTTCAATTAAGCTTTTTGGAGCCTGTCGGACAAGCAGCTCTCAAGGCTGAGACTCGCAGCAGTTGCGCATCACAGCGTCCCAGATTGTTGAAGGCTGCTTGGTTTGCCAGGAGTGGCGCGGGATGGCGTCAGATGGAGGTTGTTCTAAACTGCATGAACAAGCTCCTGTAAAGCACCTCTCGGAAGGGACCACGAAGGAATGAACATCGCGAAAGGCGGGGATTCGAGATAAGGGCTACAAACACAAGAGTTCGGCAACAAATGCTGCATAAGTGAGCTTGTTCAACACACTGCGCTTCCGCAAAAAGCATGAGGCCCGCAAAAGGAGGGCGAATGGCTGGCGATTGGGTTACTTCCCGTCACCTGTGTATTTGAGCAACCCCAACCTTCGGAGGTCGCGTTTCCCTGACTCGACCAAAGCACGGAGCCGTTGGACCCAACTAGCTGGTCTTTGCCCAGATTTTTGTCGCAAGCTTCAGCTGCGGACTGTGGCTGCGGTTGGCAAGCAGCGTGCTACTGGCTCGTGCAGTCGCCCACACCTTTGGAGTTGGAATCCTTCCCTCGCAGCTCCCGCGGTGCGGCTGCTTCCCAGTACTTACTCTGTCAAGGCTGCGGCGCGCCTTGGGGTTCAGCCCGATGAAGCGGTCTTTGTGTACATTTGCTGCAAAAGTTTGCTGCGCAGCCTGGTATTGGGGTATGCTCAGGGCTTGCAGGAGTAGTGTAAGATGACATTGCAGCAGGAGTCGTGCTGTTTTGTCTGCAGCCAAGCATGGCAGGCCTGGGCCGAACCAGTTCGGCTCTTTCCACTTTGCAGCAAGTTGCAGGTTGAGAGTGCTGCAGGCAGAGCTGGCTGCAGTACCGCTGCCTTGTGGATGTCTTCGAACCTCCTGCGTTTGATGCCTTGCCTTTCAGCGCAGGCGCCGCATTTTCCTAGCCCCTGCGCGATAGAAGCCTCAATGACCATTTGCATCGCTTGCGAAGCTGGACGCTTTCCGAACGTGCCAAGCCACTTCCACGTGAGAGGCTCAGCTTACGACAGGCAGAAGTGCTCTAGTGCCCAGCGTGTGCCGACGAGCCGCGCAGTTGAAAGACCCCTTGTGATCTGCGATGGCGATGGGGCAATGGGGGCTGCGACCGGTGAGGTCGGGCAAGTCGCGGGGCTGAAGCCTTCAAGGAGCAGGTCACATGTGAAGGAGCAGAGCCCATGAGGACACCTTGAGCGCGCACGGATGCTAGAAATGGCCTTTGAGAGCCGAAGTGTGCAGCCAGTTGTGAGAATAATTAAACTTTGTCTCTGACGTGGGACATCACCAGAATGCTATATGCATGGCCATGCGAAGGGCGAAATACCAAAGCGATAATAATGCCATGTGTGTGGCATGTGTTAGGTCAGGGAATGGCATTCTTTATGACACACGTGAGTATGACAGACATGTTTGCCGGCAAGAGCTGCGATACAGAAGTTGTATGTGACATCCTGTCGGACAGCATTGTAGGCGTCAGGCGAGTTGCTATGTCGTTTGAATCTTGTGCTTTTTTGCCAGACAAGTAAGCTTACAAGTATCTCCTTCAAAGCTGCGGGGGCAACCAGCGCCCAGTGCTTTTGACGGCTTGCTTCGATGTGAGCGAGGAGTGCGAGTGCACCCTTTGCGACTGAAATCATTGCCGGCTGGTACTGGCTTCAGACTTGGCACCAGCGATCCGGCAGCTTTGCATTCGCTTCATACAGAAATAGGAACAGCACAGCTCCGTTGCTCCACTTGGCCTTTGCCGGAAGCGGATGTTGCAAGGCACTCCACGCATTGATCCCCTCCCCATGGCCTGCATGCCGTTCGCGGCTTCCTTGGAACAATCATTCACGGCAGCTGTTCCAGTTCTTGGTACGCAAAACGAGCTGGGCGTTCCCGTGAGAAAGCTGGGAGCCTGCGTGGATTCCCAGTCCGGCGTTGAGATGCCGGCGGCGTCCTTCCTTGGTCCTCGCAGCTTTGAGGAACCGATGTTTTCAAGATGGGATGCGCGCAGCTGTTGCTGCCTTTCAGATGCCAGGGATCACATGACATGCGCAGGGGCAGGCGATCTTCACAAAAGCGAACAAATGACCAGCAGCCCTCCCCCCGCCCCTTCAAAATTTGGAGCCTCACTGGTAGAACCCCCTACTTACCTTGAGATGGCAAGTACTTTGTGACCTTGAAAACCTTGTTTTTGGAGACAAGGATAATGAAAATCAATTGAAGGTTTGGAGGGCTGGGTCCGCTGCTTTCACGAGGTGGCAAGTGGTACCTTTCAGGGGGGGCCCCACAACAAATATTTGGGTAGGTGTTGCGCAAACCTTGTTTACCCTTTGCTTTAGTGTTGCTGGGAACTCGGGAGGCAAAAGGGGAAAACCGATACCTAAGCTCGGGTTTCCTTACTTTGCGATGCACCCATGTATGGTTTTATACATCCGCAACAGCAATCAAACCACAAAGGATATTCAATTGGTAAACAAGCACAATCATTGACTCCGTTGCTCAACGCGAATTGACCTGCTTTATCGTAGTGGTACATATTTGTTTTACCCTTTGGCATCCCTACATCTGCCAGTGAAACGCTCTGGTTTTTTTTCTATACGTGGGTCCCCGAGGTAGATCAGATTTAGTTCAAGAAGGTCTACATGTCATGTTTCCATGTGGTGGTTTTACGTGGTGGTTCTTCGTGTGCGTTTCCAGAACTTCTGGGCCGAAGACACTTCAAAGCATTTGTCAGGCTGCTTCGGCGAGCTGCGGACTTAGTGGATTCGAAGAGAAGTGCCAGGGCCCGGGCGACTCAGAAAGCGTCCTTAGGCGAGTTTGGTTGGAAATAGATGGATTCCAAAGGTTTCAGTTTGGTTCTATCTGAGCCCATCGTCTTTGCGAAAAGGACACCCACAATTACTTGCTTTGTCCACAGAGAAGTAAAGAGGCGGCCGTCTCGAATATGAGAAGCTAAACAAATCGGGATATGTCAAAACTAGAAAGTGTTGGGGTAGCTTTGGACATCAGTAGCCCAAGCGCCTTTGTTTTTGCCATGGACACTCAATGTCATTCACAAGTAGCTTGCCATTCTGCGAGCGTTGCCCCATACTTCATCTTACGTGCAGAGCCTTGTAGCACACAACACTTGCAAAGGATGGTGGTAGAATGGCCAGCTCATCAGCGAATTTCTACTGCAGGCCGCTTGTTCGAGTCTGCCATGACGAGGTCATTACTTGCAAGTCTTTTGATTGGCAAGCTGTTGACCTCTTCTTTCTGGCCCAATTTGATGGGCCCCTTGCCATGGCTATATCAGTGTGCCAACTGCGATTCTTTGCCTTGCCATTGGTGTTTGAAGCACCGAGTTGATGCGAGCCAGGTTCCCGCAAGCACCCGCTCACCTCATTGCGAGGGAAAATCATGGCCTCATTTCCCAGCCATCAATCCTAACTTATTTGCCGTCAACAGGATTTCTCATGGGATCCCTCAGCTTCTTGGACCTTCACTAAAGTTTCAACTTTGAGTCAGATTCTCGGACTCGAGACCTGTGAAGGGCGCTTGCAGTGCCTGCGCTGTAGGTAACAAGAGTGACACTTCCATGGAAATCGTTGAAATCCTAACTCGCTCCGACCCCAGCCTTGGTTGCCCTCGGTGCGTGCAACCTTGAGCCCTGTAGACATCTGGGGAAATGAAGTTTAACCCTTCAACTTTGTCTTCTATGAGGTTATGCGTATTAAAAGGAAAAGCCTTTCAAAAAAAAAAAAGCCTTTCAAAAGGAGAGCTTTTCAAAAGGAAAGCCTTTCAAAATGAGACCCCCTTCAAAAGGAAAAGCCTACACACACTGCCTGAGTATTCAATGGGCTGCAAAGTGTCAGTTGGTCATGGGCAAAGTGCCAGTTGAAAAGGGAGCCCCTTGTATGTGGAGACCCATTTTCCCATCCAACCGACTGGGGTGAAAACCGGGCAGCGCCCAGTGCACTTCCAGCCTCCTGCGCGGGCACCGGTGGTGCGGTGGCCCAAAGTCAGCATCCATGGCTCGCTTTGGTTTTTGTCAGCCTCTTTATCTGAGTGGTTTAGTGGTTTAGTGGGAAATCCCCACTTAACTGCTAAAATTTAATTTTTTGCTCCCCTTCCAACGTCAACCAAGTCAAGTGGGAGTCTCAAAGGGCCAGGATCCCGTTCAACGGGGCCAAATATCTGTTCGTCAAGATTCCGCACAGCTTTTTGGAAGACAAGAGCCGGCGAGTCTCGCCGGCTCGGCATGGCCTCAACTTTGCCTTTGGAGAGTCTTCTGAAACAGCTGGCAAATTTTGGCGGATCTCAGCGCAGCTGAACTTGTACCGCTGTAGGCTTTGGCTGAACACAAGGGCGCGACAATTTTCGCCCCGCCTGAAGACTTGAGAACTGAATAGCGGCCGCAATGGAATCCTTTGGGCTCCAATGAGCAAACATACCGTGCGACTAGAGCAGCTCACCTAGGTGGTGGGCAGCAAGGCGTTGGCAGGCACAACTTAGAACAGTTCTTTTCTTGTGGGGGAGGCGGCGAACAAATGCTCGTAGTTCACTACCCTTCACGACCAACTGTGGTCTTAAACTCGCCAAACCTTGCGAACGTCGTGGTGGGTTCGGTCATTTTCGAAATCATTTCGCTTCTCATCTTCTTGGACCTAGGGCTTTGACGACATGGACTAGGGCGTTGAGCTCTCGCGACTCGCCGCGCACCTTGGCGCGGGAGCCTCTGGTCGGCATCTCTTGGAGACGTTCAAAAACCGTTGCGGAATTGAGAACTCACCCGTTGGGAGTTCCACGAGTCCAAGCCATTTCCATGTCACAAAATGACTGGAGGGCTAGGGTCCCAATCGAAATTCACTGGATAAGGTTCTGGTTATTTTGTTTATTTAGGTTCCGCTTGTGAGGGCAAAGGTGTCTAGAGTTGGTATGTTGTCTTTGGTGCGAAGAGAAACCACAAGAAAGCCATTGTGGGGATAGCCCTCGGACACATATCCTGGGGTCAGGGCAGGTACAAAAGCCATGCCATAATGCCATCCAATGGTGAGCACATGGAGTTGACAAGATGTATCTCTCATGGTGTTCTAGGGGAAGCTTCCACAGTCTTTCCAGGGATCCTGAAAGGGAAACCATCAAGCCAGGGGAAACAGCGATCGGTTTTTGAAAACGATGGTAGAAAAGACTGGAATTGGAATCAAACCCTAGAGGATGTGCACTCTTGAGTTCTCATGCGCACAGGCCATTGGCCAGCCAGGTTTTTTGGTGAGGAAGCGCGCGTTGAGGCAGTGATGCCGATTTTTGAGATAATAAACACCCTCCAGAATATCAAGGAGTGCATTTCAGGAGGCCAAGGAACGGCCTAGGAATGATGGTGCTCAAGCCAAGTGTTTGTGTTTGTGTGTGTATGCACGTTGCTGCGTGGTCGTGTGTTTTACAGTACCTCTTTGTTGTGGTTCTTTCAGGGAGCTTAAGGGGCTGCCAATTTTCGGAGTTTCCCTGGAGACAAAACCTAATATGTATCAGCACTGGGGACCACGAGAGCGGGGTGATGCGGCACTATATGAAAACGACACGTGTGCTTGTTTTTGCATGGCCTTCACAGCGTTCCCAGAAATAGAGGCAGAAAGTTCTCCACTGCGATGGTGTGTGGCTGAATCGCCATTGTGGGAAACAGCGAGGGAGTCTAATTGGATAGCACACCGGCATGTTTGACTGACCAGTTCCCTCACGTGCCAGTCGATCACTATGAAGCATGCATTGTTAAGACTGTTTTTGTTCTTTCTTTTTTTCTGCACTTCCACGAGTAGGGGTTGCTTGATCTTGTTTGCTTTCGCTTCGCCAACTAAAGTTGAGTCAAGGCAAGCGTCCGAATAACAATTGAATATCACAATTAAACCAACGTTTATTCTCTTCAGACTTTTTCAAGACATCTGTTTCTTTTCAGCAGCGAGTGTAAGTGCTTCGGTGAAGGTCGCTTCTAGCGATGTCTTCGACTGAGGTAATTGCATGGGTGTCACCCTGGCCAATCAGCCGAGCGAATACGAATGCGAAGCGCACGAAAAAGCGGGGCGATTTGCGCCTTGAAGGCGGTTGTTGAGCACCTCGCCCGGCAAAACTCGTTGCCACTCAGGAATCCAGAAGCCCTCAAGCAAAGCCTTTTGTGTCCTGTAGTCGTCTGCAGCAATACCCTCAATTGAATCAATCATTTTGCCATATCATTTTTGATTGTCTAGCTTGTTCAAAGCAGAATCCCCAACGATTTGCGGGTTGCGGATTGCGCTGTTTGCGGATTTGATTATGCGGTTTGCGGATTGCGGATTATGTGTTGCATGGATTGTCCATGCTCTAACATGCGGTTTCAACTCACAAGTTGCAACCAGAACAAGGATTGAGCGGATTTCGGATTGTGATTAGGCCCCGGGAATTTCGGACAAGCCAGAATTTGTCGGAGTGCAGGTATCTAGAACAATCTTTGCCTCCGCCGTCTTCATTGAACCCCTCAACAAGCCACAACAAAGGCAACAGCTCAACGCACGCAGGAGTTGGGTCTTTTTTTTTCCCCAGTGTCCAACAAAAACGAGCGAAAACGCGCTCAACTTGGCCGCCCAGTTTAGGCCAGTTTCGGCTCAAGTCCGAGGGTGCTTAACTTATTCTCTCCTCACCATGTGGCTCGCCGGCGCCCGTGGCGGCATATAGCTGGCTGGGAACACTATTCAACTGAGCTGAGTGGCTCAACCAGGTGCCCATAGGTGACCTTTGTAGGTTATTTTTGCTAGAAATTGATGGCTCTGGTTTAGATTGGTTTCTTTCCATTTAGCAGGGCCATCTATTTTCCCAAAAGGACACCTATGCACCTGCTCCTACTGCAAGTTTATTGCTTACTCACATCGGAAAGGGATGCGGAAAAGATGACGTGAACCTTCAAACTGGGGGAATGAGGATTGAGCAAAAATGGGTTCGGCCGAGATCCCCCACCTTTGTCTCCGAAAGTAAAGGCCCTTTTGGATCTCAAGGGGACGGATATCTTTTGACTTTGTCCTGATGCGTAATACCCAGACCGTTAGAAACTGGAAGATTCCGCGCCTGCAAGCACTACTTGTATACCTTTTTGAGACAAAGACTACCAAACGAGCACCAGTCCATGTTGGAACGAGCCCCAGTCCATGTTGGGCTTGAATGGCGCACGCCCGAACATTGCTCATCCATCTTGTATTTAGAGCGCCATCAGAACCTTTGGCTGGTAGTAGCTTTTGAAGACCTTGGGTTTTGCTTTAGCCTACATACCGTCCGCACCGAGTTACTCGTGGAAGTATCAAACTTTAACTTGCCGCTTGGCAAGCTGTTGTTCCATGGGAAGGAAAGCCTGTCCATTTTCCCATTGGCGTCCTTGGTTTGGCGTTGGTCTCGACGTGTTCAGCTGAAAGATTCGAGGTCTTTGACCAAAGCTCTGGGGTCGTTAGCATGTTTGGAGTCCGGATGTCTTGGGTCAGGCTGTTGGTTTGGAGTGGTGATTTGGATTCGTCTTGTATATGAGAAACCACTTCCAAACCACTGGGTCCCAACCAAAGAACGAGGGAACTGATTGGGGTCGACCCGCCGGTGCTCAACAAAACCCCCCTGACTTAACTGCTATTGGGTTGGATCTTTAGACTATAACTTGTTGGGAAATCACGGGGTTTTACACTAAACCCCCAAATAGTTCAACTTTTACCAGGGGGGTCAACAGCAACCAAGCTGAGGCCTCTTCTTCCAGGTGTGCTTCGCCAAGTTTGCGGACATCTCACAGGCGAGGGCAGGGAGTCTTGGGCTTCTTTGGGGTTGAAAAGGTGACCACTTGCCCCCCCCCAAAAAAAAGGAAAGAAAAAGAAACAAGCAACCGAAGCTTCACTTGTTTTTATATGGGCCCCTATATTTCCTTTGGTTTCAGCAAAACAACGTTTTGACAGAAGTGACTTCACCTTGGCCTGGGAGATGTTTTAAGGGGACATATAGGACACCCTGTTGTGTTTGAAAAGAAGGATAGGTGAAGAATGGAGCCAACACTGAGATGAGTTGTTGTTCATTTGCGTGGCCTGTCTTTGGGTCAGAAAATCCCCCTTCACTTTTGAGACACTGGGGCACCACATGTTGCTCAGGGAACGACCAGGAAAGCGACCCCTGTCCTGGGGTCCGTGTTTGCGAAAACAAGATGCAGGCGCTTTTGGCGCATGCTTGTTCCAACCGGGCGCTAGGTCATGGGGTCTTGTTCCCCCACTTTTGGCCCAGGGCTTCAGTTGGGCAAGGAGGGGGAGGGCTTCAGCTGGGGATGCTTTCAGGTAATTCAGTCCCCGAAAGAGTGCTCGGCTCGCGAGCATCGGAGAGATGCCACAGTTTCGCTATGGAACTCTGTGGAAACATCCATCCAAAAGTACAATGGCAGCTCGCTAAATGGAGACTAATACTCACACCTGCGCAACCCTAGGTCTTTAATTTTGAGCCACGCCCATGTGGCTGAAAAAGCCAGCTGCAAGGAGGAGTGTGAAAGAGAGTCCGCAACAATCCAGCTTCTTTGAGTGTGTCTCACGCTGACTTGTTTTGACACAGACGCAAGTTGTGTTTGTGCGTGTTGTAGCTTCAGGCATATGCGTTCTGCTGGTCACCAAGGGCTGTTTGGCCTTGCTCCTCATGTTTGGGTGTGTTCTAGCTTGAAGAGCTTTATTTGGGTGAGCTTTTTTCAATTTACTTTTCGGGAACCAAAAGGAATCCCAATGTATTTGTTGGTGTTTGTTTGAGGATACCCTTAAGCTTGGTTTAAAGGCAAGCCCAAATGATAAATCCATTTTTTGGGCATCCCCCCTGTTTTGCAGCCACATGCATTTGGATCTCAGGCCTTTTTCGGGGGCCCCTACATGAGCCATCGTGCGGCTCACCAACGGCTTCTGTGTGGGGGGTTTTCAGTCAGGTTGTTTCCTGTCGGTCCTCAGGCCCGGATTTTGAACGCCAGCATCTGACCAAGACTTCTTGGCGGGGGTTCGCCCTTTTCTCGAACCACAGTTGAGCCACAATCAAAACCCGGGTAGATGAAGGTTGGTCAGGGACAATCCCAACCAGAAGTAGCTGCGGATATCCGCCTTCTTAATTTCTTGCATGGCTCGACCATAGTACCGGGTTTCGAGCAAGTGACTCACTTGCCTTTGCAAAACAGTCTGTGCATGGCTCTACTGGATTTCCTTGAATCCAAAAGCTTTGGTCCCCAAGGTTTGGGCCCCGGCGTCTTTTTACAGGCGCCAATCAACCATGAGGGATTTCAGACACGGAGCCGTACGGGCGGGCTCCGTTTTTTTTTCATCCTCTCCGGGTCTCGCAGGGGTTCAGGTTGAAGCCGCGAATTTTATGGCCGAAAGGAGGGCCAGGCAACATGTGTGGCTCGCAGCTTTGCACATGACATGGTGTTGTTTTCCTCGTTTGTTTTTACGTGTTTCAACAGGTTTGGCTCCCGTTTTTAGGTATGACATGTTTTGTTTGTTCCGCATGGTTTTGGGGTGTTTTTGTTTCTTCTTTTTTTGGGTGTCGTTGGTTGGAGCCCGCCCGCCGTTTTGGGGAGGGGTCCAACTGCTGTGACCCGCGTGGCTTTCAGGTGTCCATAGCCAAGTTCACCGATGGCACGGCGGAGGAGAGAGAGCAGCAGGTGCAGAAGCTGAGGACCGAACTTTTGGGTCGGTCGGATGGCTTTGGAGGGAATCAATCTCTCTCCAAAACCCCGGGTGTGCGGACTTCATTGGTTTTTTAGAGACAGTCGGTCGTGTGGTAACAAATAGAGTGTGGCCCTCTTTCCAAATAATCATGGAAGACGACTTTGAGACAATCAGTCTTGTGGCAAAAGTAGAGTGCGGAAGACAGGGGTTGGGGTTTGCCATCTTGAAAGGACACGAATCCACTTGAGTGAAACGGGTACTCCCTCACTTCCCCAGTTGGACTTGAGTCACGTTTTGGCTTTGGACCATTAGTGGCAAACTAAAAGCTTGGACTTGTTTTTAGCCAATCCACACAGGAAGCGATGTATTCATCTGCTTAAGGCACCTAGTGTTCAGTTGGTTTCTGGAGTCATAAACAAAACAGAAATGGTGGTCATTGGTATAGATATGCAAGTACAAAAAATATAACTAAGCACATATATATATATATATATATATTTACAGAACCATACATACATATACATATATATATATATGTTTGTGTATATTTATGCTTGTTTATTGTGGCATCTGAAGCGTGTGTAAGTTGTCGGCAGCCTTTAGGTTTGAACTGCTTGGATCTCCCAGCCCAGTGGCGGTGGAATCTTGGGCCGTTCTTCGCGCCTGCTACGGCTTGGCTACTCTTTACTCAAGCACCTCCTGGTTCCATGCGGGAGGTGAAATATCCAATCGTTTAGTTTCCGCAAAGACATGGAGTTCCGATGACTTTTTTGGACTTGTCCCCCATGCTTTTGCTGCGGCCTCGGACCTTAGGACCTCTCATCTGCGAAAGTGTCTTGAATGTTAGGGCCCCCTCCCCACACAAACAGCAACGGATTACGTCCGCCACGGGACATTTGGCTCTGGCAAGGCTTGCATCACGTTGAACTTCTGGAACCAAGGCACACTTCAGGTAAAGTGGGCTGAATGCTCCCACGTGACACGGCTGTGCCGCGATTGCGCAACGCGCAACGACCCACTCAGCGGTGGATGTTCCTCAGGCTGCGACACCTGGACTCGGCCAGGTGGTTGTTTTGTGGCAAGCGGATTGTGGGACTTTGACTTGCGGCAGCACGTGTCGTCATGGCTTGACCTTGCTGAGAAAGTGCTGCCTAGCGCGCGGTGCGTAATCCTCATAGTGGCAGCTGGCAGTTTTGTCGAAACCAATGACCCCTCCACATTGTCATGTGGCCATGGCTCAAAAACCGGTACCAAAATGGGTTGCCCTGGTAAGTGGAAACATGGACCAAATCCTGCGTAACCCCTCCTGTTTAATTTTGGGCCACACCCATGTTGGTCCCCGTTTATCTCGAGTGCCGCAGTTCATCTGCAAGCAATCCGGTCTATCTCAAAGATCTCAATCCGGGCTTGAACTGAGGCAAGCGTGCTTCACATGCCGTAATCCTCCCAATACACGTTGCCTGCGCTGCCCTTGAGGAATGCTTTCGAGACGCAGGGAATGGTCTGGAGCTGAGTGAAAGCCACGAGCAATCGGGGGGGGACCCCCCACCTGAAGGTGGGGGGGCATGTTTTGATCTGCAGGAGGGTAGTTCAGAGGTTTTTAGAGATCAATCTTTTGATCCATTTGAGCATTAAAACTTGTGTCAGCTGCAAGCATAATTCTGTCCATCCACAGGCGCACCCGTTGAAAAGGTGGCTTGCGAAGGTACCACTGCCCCATGATGGACCATGATGGGGAATCACTCTTATTGAACCCCCGCAATACACACCCGAGCGGGTTTGCTGCCTCTCTCGCTCTCTCTTTCTCTTTCTCTTTCTCTTTCTCTTTCTCTTTCTCTTTCTCTTTCTCTTTCTCTCTCTCGCTCTCTTTCTCTTGGTCACTCTCTCTCTCTCTCTCAATTCTCGCTGCGTCCCTCTCTCTCTCTCTCTCTTTCTCTACGTCTCTTTGGGTCTCTTCAGTCTTTGCTGACGTCCACGACATGAATAGCCAACGGCCTGGTGCAATGCCACATACTGCATGGCACCCGACCGCCAATCATGTGTGCCCTTAGCTCAGCTGCGGCTCGTCAGCTCTTTCGATTTGTGTCAGCCGCATTCCTCCTTGGCACCTGGGGTTCTGCCGGGTTCTGCCATGACCAGCGACTACTTTGACTCAAAACGCCCGCCAGCACCTCTGGGCATTCGGCGATCCCTTTCAAAGCAATCTTCATGCGGAGGCGATGCTCAACGCAAAGTTCTCAGGGCAACAGTTGTTTGTTTAAACAACCACTGGTTCCCTTCTAACAAATGGGTTCCTTTCGCAACGCACCTGATTGTGGGCAAGGGGCCCTTGACTCGGACAGAATGTTTGGACGCGTCTGGAGAGGGACCATATATTTCCCCGTAAAACCAAAAAGCAACAAGAACAAAAACACGTGGTCTTGTCTCCCCCAAAAACGGTCACGCTCCTTTGGTCTTGTTAAGCCAACCCCAAAATGGGTTAGCAACTCTACAGTCACCAGGTGGTGCTGATGGACACCGGCTTTCCAGAGGCGGAACACCAGCGTCTTCTTTTTTTTGGGGGGGGGATACGACTCCTCCAGTGACTTCTCCAGTTGGTTGTTTTAGTTGTCGGTTTCGCTTCCAAACCAAAGGGGGGCCATATGTTGAGACGCACCACTCGGTTCCAAGAAACACCCGGAAATATGTGATGTTTCCTTTTCTGGGCTTGAAAAACACAACTCGGTTTTGGTTTTTGAGCATGGCATGCATCTGGGGGAATGTGCCACTTGGCGTGATCCCACTATGCCAACCAGAAGGAACTGTTTCAAGGTGTGGCAGCCCAAGCAACATGGTTTGTCGCGGCGAGGGTGTTTTTTTGAACTCACCCCGCCAAAAAGCATGTCCCAAACCCTTTCAATGTTTGCTTTCCATGCTGGGGATGCCTGCTTTCACGATTTTCCAGGATCTCTTTGCTGAAGAGAAAGCCAATTCTGTGGTTCGTGACACTCGAGCTTTGTGGGCAAAGGGAGCCCCCTGAAAATGAGCCAACACCCAATTCAAGTTGAAGCTGGCCAACTGCTAAGCTGCAAGCCGCCCTTGCAAGTCCACGTGATTTTGGTAATGTGTTTTCCGGGTGTCAAATCAATCAACTGGCATTAGAAGCTGTGAGAAGCATGTATGACTGGAACACTAACCGTAGATCACCTTTCGGCATCCTGTAATCGTTTCTGCTTCCTGAAATTGCAGAACTGATAGCGGAGTTGGGGACCTCAAGGTCCGTCATTCCTATTTGGCGCTTTCGCTTCGAAACGCCAGCTCTGAAGCAATGCAATCAGATGATGGTTTTGTCCCTTGAATCAAACAAACCTCCCCAGGCCCAAGACAGCCAAAGGTGAAAGACAGCCAAAGGTCCCAAAGCGTTGAGACCGAAGCCGAGTGGGGCTCCTTAGGACGTGGTGGAGAAGACGATTCAGCGCAGCCGGGACTTCTTTGCACTTCCACGGGCGGCCAAGGCCGAGCTCGGCCGAGGGAAGTGCTTTTGTGGGGCAAGCGAATTGGGTCGAGTTGAAATTGACTGGAGATGAAATGGAGAGCAAGCGGCAAAAAGGCAAACCGGCATGAAACTTCAACGGGCGGCAAATCGGCTGGTTCCGGGAGTATTTTTGGGCAACCCTCCAAAACTTTGAATGGAGCTGGGTTCTTCGAAATGGACCAAACGAAACCAAGCGAAGACATCTTCAAAGGAGAAAGGGGAATCAGAGCTTTGGACACCAGGCAACCATGAAACCGAAAGGAAGACGAAAGGGCAAAAAGGAAACCACAAGGGATGACAGAAACAAAGGGGAAACCACAAGGGATACATAGGCAAATGCAAACCAACAATAAGACAAAGCAAAACCACACAAGATGCCAACGGAATCCAACAGGACACCAAATGGAAGCCGAATTACATCCACAACCAGGCAACATGGAAAGCCAAACTGAAAGCACAAAGCCCTTGCAAGGGGGGGCTTCCCAACTTTACTTGTTGCTCGAAATGGGGCCAAATCGCCATTCCGATTTGTAGAGGGAAGCCATCATGATGAGGAACCCAGGCTACAGGTGCTTGCTGGTTGCTTGGTTGGTTGGTTGGTTGGTTGGTTGGTTGGTTGGTTGGTTGGTTGGTTGGTTGGTTGGTTTTGTGGTTGGGTGGTTGGGTGGTTGGTTAGTGGTTGCGAGTTGTTGGTTGTGTGTTAGTTGTTAGTTGTTAGTTGTTAGTTGCTCGCTGCTGGTTAAAGGGGCCAAAGGGTCAAATGCGGGCCACGGGCATTGAATGAAACATAATGAAACACATTGGGCAAGTTTTAGCAAGGCTGCCACCACTATGCGGGCAGCAGTCGTAAGGCGCAAACGCGCGAACGAGCTACTCTACTTCCAGTTTGGGAAGAAGCAGATTGCCGAGACATGTGGCTGTTTGTCACAAGGGACCTTGGGGGCAAAAAAAGGCCCTCTTCTCATCAGATGTGTTGATGACATTTCCTAGGCAGCCGTTTTGTGCCCCTACAAAGCGGAAGTGTTGCACCTTCCGCCCATCAATCCACAGTTTGTTTCCACTTCCCTCAAACCATAGGGAATTGGATCCATGATTGATTGGTTAGTTCGTTCGTTGGTTGGTTGGCTGGTTGGTTGGTTGGTTGATCAGTTTTTGCAGACCTATCATCCACCCGGAGTCATAGTACATGAGCAACACGCATTATTGGTCAAGCGATTTTCAGGCTGTGCCCATTGAGGGCAAAACAGTTCCTTCAAACTAACACACCCAGATTGGTTTCCTCTTAGGCCCCATTTCGAAATCGCAAATGGATGCAACGAGTTTTGACCGAGCTATGTGCCGGAGTTGCAAGGACAGTGGAAGCGGACCTCTGATGTTCTGTGGGGTGTACTGTGGAAAGAACCTGGAATGGTGGTCCTTGGGATTTCTCTCTAAATCAATCCCAAAAGGATACCCAGTCTCCTTTGGTGCGTCGCACCCAATTCTGGAGTCATTGGTCCACACACCACAGGTAGCGATACATGGGTGCGTCTCTTTTTGAGGGTAACTCGTTTTGTGGTTTTCCTTTAAACCCGTCATGTTGGGGGTCCCCCAAAAAAAACAAATCACACCCATGTGTATCAGAGAGTGCTGCACTTGGAAAGATGTGATATCGTGGCCAATCAAAATGCATACATTCTTGGATGTGTAAAGGCATGGCCTTTTGACTGTCCTCATCTGAAATGCCTTGCCCTTTCAGCCTCCTTGAATCAACCATGAAACAAAGCCCCGCGTTTTTATTGTCTTCCAGTCATTTTTTTAAAATCAAAAAGCCTCACGGGACTGACGTCGCCAGAAGATCCCCGGATGCTGGGAGGTCTCTGACAGCTACATCGGATTCAGGTTCCGTGGAATTCTGCTTGGTTCCATGTGGTGCGAAGTATTGCAAGTTTCCAGGGCTACCTTCTCCATTCTTTCCAGGGATCCCTAGAAAACCTCCAGAAACCCAGCAAAAACGGCGGTTTTTTGAAAAGAATGATGGTTGACAAGAATGGGGAATCAACCCTAGAAAGCTCCATG